GAGAAGCTGCTCCAATGACCTGCGGTAAGAAGGAACCGAAGAGGCAGCGGGTCGGCAGGGACCTATATACACCACCATTAAGGCACCATTCCAGGGTACCGCTAGGGGGAAAACCTTCCAACAATCATGCACATGGCACGCACACGCCTACTTGGAATTGACATGAGCTATCACTCGAAGAAGAATTCTATTTTGTAGAACAGAGGCATGTGTTTTCCGTTCCATGAGAAATCTGGCCAGTGCAGTATAAAAGGAAAATACACAGTGAGTAATTGCACCAAAATGAAAATTCTCAGACTTGAGAATTCTGACCTTTGAGCCCAGTGCTTTAACCAGAACATCATCAGAGTGACTGGGCTATAAACTGGAGCTGCCAGTTTGAAGAAATTTTCCCCCGAAGGCCATAGAGTTGCATTGGCTGCAGTAACCCTCATGGCCACCATGCTACCCTCGGAGGATTAGAATAGCCAGGGGACCCATTACCTAGATACTACAGTGGCATTACATAAATATTTACAGTAGATAGATCCACATAGTCAGAGATCCACTGGTTCCACCCCTGCTTTCTCCAGCTCAGTCTTGCCCCCAGGCTCAATGTGATGGGGTGCAGGGAGCACTGGTTTGCAGGGTTCTGTGACATGCAAGGGGTGTGCACCACCTATGCAGGGGCCCCAAATCCTATCCCCTCCCTTTCAGCACAAGAACTGCACCATTTGGTCATAGGAATAGAGTCCTCCAGGGTTGCGGGGGAGGAGTCAGGATTTGGTCCTTTGTGAGAAGGCCTTAGGGCTGGATTTTCCAACAAATCCTTTGCTTCAGTAGTGAGCTGAGGCACAAGACTGTATTCTGCTGTGGAACAGTAGGAAGACTCAATACTAGTGTCAGCAATATTAAGATAGCAAGATGCTGCCCCCTGCAATGCTTTAGATGGATTAGAAGCTGGGCCTTCGGTTTGTTTCTTTTTTGGTGAAAACATTAAAAATCCAGGGTTATCTTCTCTTTGTGTGATGCCACAAGCAACATTTTCCAGGTACTTCTCAAGCCTTGATAATGTTCTTCCCTGTTTTTGCACCCAGCGATACCTATTTCCATGCAACCCACTCCTGCTGGACCCATGCCCCCACACTGGGGTGCACCTAGGAGGGTTAGTATATACATTTGCTGAAAAGTGCCAGGCATGCCAAGTATATTATAGAAATAAAATAGTAATAGTATGTGGATTGGGTAACGATGTACATATCTACCTGTTTGCATGGCTTAACGCATATGGGATGAGCACATCTTTCCAGGTGCACACCGGAAAATTTGCCCTCAGTATCTCAGCCATGCAAGAACACTATCTTGGTCTCTGTGGCAAAGGGATTAGCACTTAAAACAATTATCGCCAGCAAGCCTGCAATGTTAGCACATTTCGAGGATTAGAGATCTTTAAGGGCCTGAGCCTGTGAACCTCTCTCAGGTGAAGATTACTTAAACCTGGTCTATATTTAAAATGTAGGTAGACATAGCTACAGAGCTCAGGGGTGCTGACTTAATGCCAGGTGTCAACGCAGTGCATTGACCTAGCTACTGCTGCTTGGGGAGGTGGAGTTCCTACAGTGATAGAAAAAAACCCTCCCATCACTTTAGGCTGTGTTTCCACTTTGGGGTTACTGCCGGCATCAGTACTGGGCCATAGTTGCGCTGCTATAGTGCCCGCAGTGTAGACATGGCCCTAGACTGCAACTCTTTGGGGCAGGAACTGTTGATTTGTTCTGTGTTTATACAGTGCCAAGCACAGTGGGGCCCTTGTCCTTGCCTGTGGCTCTTTGGCATTATTGCAATAAAAATATTACTAATAATAATTCTGTCTGTAAAGCAGAATGACAAAGCACCATCTACAGGTACTAATTATCCACTTTGTAGAAATGATCAATGTCTTCTGATGAGCAGATCAAGGTGCTTCCCTGCAGATTACACACAGGACCTGATGGCTGCCTGGAGAACAATTAATTACCCAAACTTGTTACTAGCCGTATTTAGAAAGAAGAGCAGTCTGAATATAGATCAGAAACACATCAGATGAAGTTGGATCAATGATTCGGCACATAGCTGTTGCATTCTAAAAGAATTTCACACTAAGATCAACCCATTAAAGTAGGGGAGGAGAGGAAATTGACATTTTTATTGTTGATGCAACACAGAGCTGTTCACGAATAGCTATACCTACACTGGAGTTTCATATAAACCCGTACATGATCCCCTGTGATGGAAACAGCTGAGTCAGTAATAAGGCTCTAACCAGATCTGTTGTTGTGCCAGGAAAACTGACCAGAGCCAATTTGCATTTTGCATACAAGGAGAAGCTTCCAAATATCTAATGCCTTTATATTTTGGTACAAACAAAGAAAAATAAGGAAGTGACCTCCAGACTGGCTCTGTATTTGAATGAGCTATGTAAAACGCAGTCATACAGGTGCTTGTGTTAGCTTTCCTCTTAAGGTTCAAGTCAGATCTGAGTTCTGGTGATTTCACTGTACTCCACTCACTCAGTTTTTTTTTAAACTAAGCAGCCACAAATGTATCAGGACATAATAATTTGGAAATAAAGTGCTGTGTGATACACTGATGCCTGCCAGGATCCGTATGGAGTGTCAGAGATGCCTGCATTGGCTTATGTGTACTGTAGTCATAAAACACCTTGAGATCCTAGGATAAGAACATATGTCTACATGTATCTATTACGTGCATGTGTAACATGTCACTCACTCACTGTCTGACTCAAAGAATTTTCATGTTCCCATTGACTCTTGAACTTCGGGACTCGTTCATTGTGGACTGCTGAGCACGGGAACAATCCTACATTAAAAAGAAAAGGAGGACTTGTGGCACCTTAGAGACTAACAAATTTATTTGAGCATAAGCTTTCGTGAGCTACAGCTCACTTCATCGGATGCATTTAGTGGAAAATACAGTGGGGAGATTTATATACACAGAGAACATGAGTATAACATGTGTATAACGTTCTCTGTGTATATAAATCTCCCCACTGTATTTTCCACTAAATGCATCCGATGAAGTAAGCTGTAGCTCACGAAAGCTTATGCTCAGATAAATTTGTTAGTCTCTAAGGTGCCACAAGTCCTCCATTTCTTTTTGTGGATACAGACTAACACGGCTGCTACTCTGAATCCTAGATTAGAAAACTGACCTTTACATCTGAGATCACCAAGGAGGTCATTGGTCATTTTCATCCAATTTCAATCATTTAAGCACCTTTATGAGTATACTAGGGTGTGTGGAAATTTACAAAAAATATTTATTTCTGCTATGAGACTGTTATGTTTAACATGAGGCCTTCAGATTGGAGAAATTAAGGTTCTCTGAAGTTGTTGCTTTTGTTTATTCAAATTTGGCCATGAACATTTCCAGAAATGTATTTAAAAGGATTACAAAATTTGCATTAATTTATTTGTTACATGCTGCCACTTAGAATGTGGGGCAAGTTATTTTAGAAGTACCATTTGTTAAAAAAATATTATTCCACCTGTTAAAATGTGATTCCTATGGATTTTAGGAAGGAATCTTTTGAAATATTAAATAAGACTATATTGAAAGAACATTGTGGCTGCAAAATGAATCCCTCAGAAATTTGAAAATGCCAAAACTGAGGTTGCATTACAAACAGTTTTTAATTAGATGAGCACATGTAATGGATAATGAATGAGATAGCTGACTATTTATTATTTGCCTCAATCACTACACTCCATGAAAAAAAGTGTACTGTTTCACTCTCTTTTCATTCAAAAATGTCTGAAGTCGTTTTGCTCAAACTTTCAAAAGGCAAAAAAGAAAAACAAAAAAAAATCAACTTGAACAGACCTGGGACATTTTTTGCCTGAAAAATGAAAGTTTCAGAAAGTTATAAATTGAAAAACCTCTTTGGAATTGAAATGGTTTAAGCAAATATAACTATAGCTTTTTCTACATGCACTAAATGTTCTGCTGATTTATCACGCCACATAAGTATCTAGGTTAGTGGCTTAAAATTTAATTTGCTTGGTGTTTGGACAGTGCAGGCTTCGGTTTTGCAAGGCTCTATGGCAAATAACATGTGTGAGCCACATCCAGCTCCATCATCTACAATCCGGAGTTTAAGTAAAGGGGAGAGTAGACAAAGAGGAAAGCAGAGGGAAAGCTGCCACTCCTCTTTGGCTGATGTATGAGAAAGACTGTTCCTGTTTCAATCTACAATAGTCCCGATTACAATCAGCCCCCTCCACATTGGTAGCCACAAAACCCACACAAACACTCTCTGATCACCTCCTGCTTCCTTGTGACCCCTCCTATTCTCCCCCAGTCTGTTACAATCTCACTGATTTGTGAAGCTCTGTGGCCTCTGACCTGACCCTTCCCAGCAACATGGTCTAGGAATTTAGGAGCTGGAACCAACAATTTTCCAAATGTGGAGACAGACAAGGAACTGGGGTGGGTGGATAGGCTCATAGGGTATGTCTGCATTGCAGCTTGGAGTGTGCCTCCCAGCCTGGATAGGTAGACTCATAGCTGTGTGGCACTGGCGGAGGCTTGAGCTAGCCACCCACCTCACACCCACTCTCACCCCTGGGTCCCTCCTCCAGTGCCACAGCATCTGCACAGCTATTGCTAGCAGGCTAGCGTGAGCCCCATTAGCCCAAGTCTATCTATCGGGGCTGGGAGACTCACTCCCCGCTGCAGTGTAGACATACCTTTAGCAGCCTGGAGTCCTGTGCAGCTCTTTTAGGGGTCCCAATGGTGCTTCTACTAAAGTCAGCTGAGGAGGTGACTAACAGAAGGGCCCAATCCTGAAGTCCAGTTTTTACTCTATTTTAACCCAGTCTTTACTCATGCAATTTCCCATTAACTCCAAGGGGAGTTTTTCTTATTGAAAGAGTAGGGCTGGGATATGGCATATAAATAAATAAGCCGAAACTGTGAGAGAACCACGACAATAGGGAGGTTAATGTCCAGCTGAAGTTTACCTGGTCTGGGCTGACAATAATAGGTTCCCTCAAAAGAATCCAGGTAACACACTCATCACAAGGAGGTTCAGTCAAGGAGCCATGGTATGTCCAATAGTCCCAAGATTTAGGAAAAAGAATTGATGGATCAAAGTTTGAAAAAGGAGCCTCTTTTCCCTTCAAATAAATAAAACAGAAATCTCTTTAGTAACACTAATGGAGACACTGAGCTTGCTTAAAAAGAGAGAGTCAAGTTTCCATGGAAGAATTAATGAAATGTCCAATATTATGTAAGAGGCTGACCACCTCCTTTCAAACATTTGCTCTGTAACTTACTTTTCTAGAAATGACCACTAGTCCAAGGCTGAGATTTCCCAAAGAAATAAAATAAGATGCACTTTATCAAAGTGTCCACTGATGTAATTAAGTACAGTAACTTCTTAGAACTTGTCACCATAATGTACTGTTACCTAACAATTGTGACTGTGCATGAAATATTTATGTCCAGGATATATTTTCACTAACCCGTCCTATAAATACATAAATATGTAGCCTTGTTCAGATTTATACTTTGCCAAGAAAAAAAAGTATAACAAATAAAATTCAAGATGCTGTGCATTGATTTTAATTCCTTAGCTCATGCTCTTATCTTTCTCTGCTTTTCTTGAACTGTTTCTTTTTCAGAATAGCTACAGCCCAGTTTTGGATTTCTGTGATATATATGCATCATGACTGGATTCCACTATCCAAAACTGAACAGCTAGGTTTCCATTGTTACTAAAACATGGTGTAAAATCTGACAGGCAGTCTCAGTTGCCATGTAATGGGGCTGGTATCACTGTTGTCTTTTTAACATAGTATCTGACAGTGTTTGATCTCTTCACTTATTCAGGAACTTTTGATTACAGTGGTGAGGCTGTTCCACAGGTAGATGATGGCATGAAAAAAGGCATTAAGAAAAAAGAGAGAAATGGTGGCTCTGGCATTATGGGCAGAGCAAAGAGGGCAAGGGACAGAGTAATAAATGATTCACGGTTGGTTAAGCAGGGAGAGGTGGAGTTATTTAGGGACTGAAGATAAGGCAAAGAAGTTTAAAGCTGAGGTGATGGAGAGTGGGGAGCTGGTGGAGAGGTTCAGGACTTGACCCTGCAAATCAGTGGTACTACTTATGTGCTTAAAGTTAAGCACAGGCTTAAGTGATTTGCTGGATTGGATACACAGTACTCAGCACCTTGCAGAAGCAAACTCTTAAAAAGGTGAGTGACATAATCAATGTCAGATGTATTCTGAAGAGTGAATTTTATTTTAGTAGAATTAGAATGAACCCCACCAATGCTGGTCACAGACTAATATTTTTAGGAAACACCCAGTGGTTGCATTTATTTCCGGTGTTAAACGTAGTCCTGATACTATAATTCGTATGCAAACTGAGCTCCCTTCTGTGGGAGTTCTGCCTATATAATGGGACAAGTATGGGACAAGGCCCTTAGATCATTAATTAATTTAAAAAGCAGTTTAGGATAGAGTTTGCAATGATAGTTGTACTAATTATCAACGAGAGCTGCCTGGCAACTGATCCAAAGCCCACTGAAGTCAATGCGGAACCTTAGAGAAATGAGAGGAGGAATTACATTTCTCCTTAAAGAAAAAAAGATATTCCGGGCCATAGCCACCAGAATGCGCTGGCTGCTATGTGTTGCTGGAACAGTGCAAAGCAGCCAGAGCAGACTAGTGAATCTGGCTTTCTGATTTTCCCTACTGCAGCTACTCAGTTAACCTAATATAATAAAAACTGTTCTGTTACCTTTGTTTTAATACCATTTATTTCTTCAAGAATTCTCTTCATCTCTGGTTTGGGAGTTTTTCCTACCTGTAATGCAGGAAGCAAGAGTTGAAAAATAGATATGACAGCTGCTTTTTTCCCCTTCATCATTATAGGTCACGACTACATGAAAAACTGAACTTGACCCATCCCATCTGTCAGTTTAATTAGCAACATTCTCAGAACATCTTGTATGGAACAATAACAAAATGTTACACCTGATAGGGGGGAAAACACCCTGAATAATATAAAAATCATTGCTTGATTTTTCATTATAGTAGTATTTGCTAAAACAACATACCAGGCTCAATCATGCTCCAGTTGAAGTGACTCGTATGACTACCACTGACTTAAGTGAGAGCAGGGTGGGCTCCCAGTATTGAATATAAACTTGATGCAAAAGAAGAATTTCTGAGGATTAGTAGCAAATTAGTTTCACAGTTCACACAATTTTGGACGTATAACAAATAGAAAATGTATAGTTTCTTTAGCATGCATATGTACCATTTGATGGTAATTCTCCTACCAAATGCATGCTTTAGCCCTTATGCAGAAGCCTGACTTTATTAAAAATACAACTATATGCCAAGCTGAGGATCCAGGGAAAATATGAGCAGAAAGCTGATATCTCTGCAAAGGATCTGATCTCACGTAAAGAAAAGAAGAGAAGAGCAAAGAAATACTATAATAGGACTCTCTGTATTTCAGAATAGGATTACAGTTTATGGGAAGGCCCTGGGTAGCACAATCTAAAAGTAATGTAACTTCTCATCACTGAAAGAATGGCTTAAAACATGGTTCATGTCACCAGTAATGCAAATTTGTCCTTATTCTCTTGGGCCTCATTGTGAGTCCCATGTAAACCAAACACCCACTGAAGTTTGGCATCAGAGAAAACTTCAGAAATTGGTCTCTTCTCACAAGACCACCACATAATTTGACTGGTAAATATTAAAATTTACCTAATTTACTCTAATATACTAAAAAGGCTCAGGGTATATTTGCAGAGATGTGTGGAGAAGCTCACTCAGCACCGGCTCCTATTACATCTGCTAATAGCCAGTGCTCTCATTCCTCATTCTCATAACAGACACAGAAATCATAATGTGAAAGAAAAATCACTACAGACTTTCAACATCTGAGGGTCTTTCATTAAACAACTACTACTGGACCCACTGAGTTTTGCCTGAATAGAGCTAAAGAACTCAGGAAGGACCTCAGATTTTTGTCCATTGATATTAGAAATGAGCCCAAACCAAAATCTTGGAACAAATTCCACAATTAGGAGGAAGTTTGAATCTGGACCAAATCTAAACTTCCTGGCTGGAACCCATTTCTGCAATGGGCTGAACCAGAACCTTGGATTTGAAGACTGAGAAGATTTTGATCAGGATCCCAATTCAGAGTTTGAACTTGGGTCTATCTCTAATTAACATTGATGAGAAATGAGTGGCTAAAACCCACCATTTGAAACTAAAACTATACACCCACCAGGTAAATCTGGTACAAGTGATACATGCTGTTTTTTGGCATGTTTTTCTCATGGGAAGATTAAAGCGGAATCTTTTGGAGAGATCCCGGATATAGAAATCAGTCAGCGAGTAATACAGTGCACCCCTGATTGCTATTGGACAGCCACCCGCTATTGACACTGCGCCCCCTGAGCAGGAGGAGTACACCCTGTGGTTAGGACGTCTTCCTCAGTCCCTCTATTCACATCAGAACATAATCCACCATTCTGAACATGTCCTCTAATGTGATACAATACTGAAAAACAGAGCAGGAACCTTTCTCCTGCAAAGAACAAATGTATGCAATATTACAAAGAAAGAATGAGCTCTTTCTACTTACTTGCAGAAAAATACCCAAAATAGCCACACCATCATAGTTTCTCAAAGCTTCAGCGTAATTACTGTATTTTGAATACCAGTGTATCAAATGAAGCTGTAACCAAATACAATTAAACATTAGTAAGTATTATTCTGCAATAACAAGCCACCAAGAGCCCAATCTTGCATTCACTGTGCACCCAAACCTCTTTCAATAGGGTGAACAGGGAATACAGGATTGGGCCTCAAATGTATCACTCCATAAAAAGAAAATATGTATAAATATGCCCTATACCTGCTACAGCTCTTCCATGTGCTTGTGCTTTTGTAGCAATCACTTGTCAGCTATTTTACTTTTAAACAAAGTGTAAAAATTAGAATAGGGAGACTGCACAAAATATTGGAAAACTTGCTTAAAATTAATCAGATCATGTAATAGAGGAGATGCTTGCCCATGCATGTAATTGCATATGTGCAATATATAAGTTATCCATTGATGTGTGGAATCTCAACTGGATTTTCAGGTTAATGAAATTCTAAAAGAAAAATCCTAATTCATGTGTGCTTTATAAATTATTACTCTGTAGTTGTCTGCTCTACTCCCAATCCTGCACTGCTAGGGAATGGACAAGGTGGCCCTTTCCCACTTCTACTTTCTGTAATACTATGTTTTCAGGAAAATTTTCAACATTTATTTATCCTTCCAGAGGACTTATATAGCTTCTAATACCACTTGGTATGTGAACACATTTTCAGGAGAGCTGAACAAAAAACTGATTTTGAAGTTCAGTAGCAGTTCCAAATACTATTTTTAAAAAATTGGTTTGATTTAAATCAAATATGAATTTTAGGTGAAATGGGGAGGTCTGTTTTAGGTCTTTTCCGGAGCAGGTCTTCCCAGGTCTTCCACAACCCAAGAAAGTACCCTAACTGCTGAGCTAAAGGTTATAAAGGGGGAGTAAACTCACAGGAGCACCTCCTTCCTGCACATTTAATTCTTGCCATTCTGTGACTGGCCAAAAGTATTTATGTTAAATTTGTGAATAAATTTTAGGTCAACTGAAACTTCATTTTTAGTCAAATGAAATTATTTGTCCAAAATAAATAAATAAATAAAAATTCACCCAGCTTTAACCTTTTATATAAAACAAATGTGGTATCATTGCAATCCAATAATTTGATTAAACTTAGCAAAGTGTCCCTTATACTAACAAAAAAACACCAACAAAACACCACTCAATTTACCACAGGTCATGGTGGATTCTCTGTCACTGGCAATTTTAAAATTAAGATTGGATTTTTTTTTCCTGAAAGATATGCTCTAGTTCAGTGGTTCTCAAAGCCGGTCCGCCGCTCGTTCAGGGAAAGCCCCTGGCGCACCAGACCGGTTTACCCGGCAGGTAAACAAACCGGTCCGGTGCGCCAGGGGCTTTTCCTGAACAAGCGGCGGACTGGCTTTGAGAACCACTGCTCCAGTTCACACAGGCATTATTTTTGGAAATTCTATGGCTTCTATTATACAGGAGGTCAGACTAAATGATCACAATGATCCTTTCTGACCTTGGAATCTATGAATCAATGAATCACTGTCCCTGAATGTGGAATATAGGAGATTGCTCAATTTTAGGGCTGTCGATTAATCACAGTTAACTTATGCAATTAATTCAAAAAAATTAATCGCAATTTAAAAAATGAATCACGATCAATCACAGTTTTAATTGCACTGTTAAACAGAACACCCATTTAAATTAAATATTTTTGATGTTTTTCTACATTTTAAAATACATTGATTTCAGTTACAACACAATACGAGGTGTACAGTGCTCAATTTATATTTACAAATATTTGCACTGTAAAAATGATAAACACAAGAAACAGTATTTTTCAGTTCACCACATACAAGTACTGTAGTGCTATCTCTTTATCGTGAAAGTGCAACTTACAAATGTAGATTTTTTTTGTTACATAACTGCACTCAAAAACAAAACAATGTAAAACTTTAGAGCCTACAATCCGCTCAGTCCTACTTCTTATGCAGCCAAGTGCTAAGAGAAACACATTTGTTTAGATTTACAGGAGATAATGCTGCCCGCTTCTTATTTACAATGTCACCTGAAAGTGAGAACAGACGTTCGCATGGCATTTTTGTAGCCGGCATTCCAAGGTATTTATGTGCTAGATATGCTAAACATTTGTATGCTCCTTCATGCTTTGGCCACAATTCCTGAGGACATGCTTCCATGCTGATGACGCTCGTTAAAAAAATAATGTGTTAATTAAATTTGTGACTGAACTCCTTGGGGGAGAATTGTATGTCTCCTGCTCTGTGTTTTACCCACATTCTGCCATACATTTGATGTTATAGTGGTCTCGGATGATGACCCAGCATGTTGTTCCTTTTAAGAACACTTTCATTGCAGATTTGACAAAACGCAAAGAAGGTACCAATGTGAGATTTCTAAAGATAGCTACAGCACTGGGCCCAAGATTTAAGAATCTGAAGTGCCTTCTAAAATCTGATCGGGACAGGGTGTGGAGCATGCTTTCAGAAATCTTAAAAGAGCAACACTCCAATGGATAAACTACAGAACCCAAACCACCAAAAAAAGAAAATCAACCTTCTGCTGGTGACATCTGACTCAGATGATGAAAATGAACATGCATTGGTCTGCACTGCTTTGGATCGTTATCAAGCAGAACCCATCATCAGCATGGATGCATGTCCTCTGGAATGGTGGTTGAAGCATGAAGGGACATATGAATCTTTAGCTCATCTGGCACGTAAATATCTTGCAATGCTGGCTACAACCCTGCCATGAGAACTTTCAGGTGACATTGTAAACAAGAAGCAGGCAGCATTATCTCCTGCAAATGTAAACAAATTTGTTTGTCTGAGAGAATAGCTGAACGAGAAGTAGGACTGAGTGGACTTGTAGGCTCTAAAGTTTTACATTGTTTTGTTTTTGAATGAAGTTATTTTTTGTACATAATTCTACATTTGTAAGTTTAATTTTCATGCTAAACAGATTGCACTACAGTACTTGTATTAAGTGAATTGAACATATGATTTTTTATTTTTACAGTGCAAATATTTGTAATCAAAAATAATATAAAGTGAGCACTGTACACTTTGTATTCTGTGTTGTAATTAAAATCAGTCTTTGAAAATGTGGAAAACATCCAAAATATTTATATAAATAGTATTCTACTATTGTTTAACAGTGTGATTAATTGCAATTAATGTTTTAATCGCACGATTAATCGCATTTAATTTTAATCACTTGACAGCCCTACTTAATTTATTTCTCTGTTGATGCAACATCTTATTACGAAGGATAAAAGCAGCATAGCCCGAGGCCTCCAATTACACTCTAGTGAAGCCCAAATCACTCCATAAATTCATTCTCCTCTATACACAGACCTAGAGGTCAAATCTTAGTCCTGAAAACTAAAGGCCAAGTAAAAGCCCTTTGTTTGATGGAACCAAGCAGGAGTTTGGAGAGACAGAGTCCTCCTATTCAGCCTGCAACTAGGAACTAGTATAGCCATGCAGTTTGACCATGGCTGACGCTAGCAGCAATAGAGATGATAGAAAAAAATCATCCATGGCCCCTACCACAAGGTTTTGGGCCAGTGGAGCTATGCTATGCATCTGGTCTGCCAACATTTCTCCTTATGGCAAGCTGTTCAGAACCACCATAAAATTCGGCACCATGGCATGTATGTGGGTTTCAGGGTGGGAACACTAAGAGGCTGCAGCATGGCTTCTCATATAGAGAAACCATGGTATTTCCATGGTAGTTTGGGCCTTGAACTCCCATGTGGGAGGGGGATAGAAACTGGAATTTGTTATTAATTAATTGGTCTTTGAGTATTAGGGAGAATTTAGGCCCACAGCGAGTACATACTGGGTCAAATCCACCCATTAACTTCAGTGAATTCAGTACATAGTAGTTTGGTGCTTTTACACCAAAATAGCAGCAAATATTTGTTTAAAACAATTCTTGACAATAGAGTGATGATTTAAAAGCACAGCTATTTAGAATGTGGAGGATATTCTCCGCCACCCTGCATCGGTTTTAAGGTACATCCAATTTTGGACCTCAGACCATTTAAATATCCCTTTAGCAAGTCATTTCCCTCATCTGTGAAAATACCAAGATGCATTAATGCTAATAAACAAGTAAAACTAGCAAAACATGATATTTTCACAAGTTTGAGAAAAACAAAACACTTTGCCACAAAAGCTGTGTTTGCTACAAAAACAGCAAAAGATCTTACTGAAAATGGTGAATATCAGGTTGGGGCATATTTACAAAAATTTACACATTTTGCCAAGGGCGAGGGGTTTGTATTTTAGTTGCGAAAAAGCTATGTTTGTTGGCAGAAATGATTCACCCTGGTTCACATTTTTGAATATTCACTGAAATAACAGGTTTCGTACACAAACCAATAAATACAAATAAATACTTGAAAGTGAAAATTGTTCGTTGCCCAGCTGCACAATAATTCCAAATTTCAGTTTGCACCATATAAATATATATAAAAAATGGGTCCTACCTCTCCCGCATATTTCACTCCATCCACAATGTGCTCAGAGCCATGATCATTAGAAGAACCCCAATGAAAGTGAAGTTGACGCAGTCTGTAGATACCTGGGAGTGGCCCATTTCTCAGCACTGCAATTGATAACCTACATCAATATTTGGCTCAGAACTTTTTCAGGAAGCTTTGCTTCACAAGAGAGGTTCATATATTTACCAGAGAGGAGTCCAAACCTTGAAAATGTTGAGCACCTACTGCAAATTCAAATTATTTCAGTGGGAGTTGAGGAAATTCAGCACCTTGCAGGATTGGGCCTATATCCTCCTATAACTAGGGTACATAGCACTATTTGATTACATAGCTATAGAAACTGCCATGAATCAGGGTCAAACCACAGAATGTGATGCCAGTTACCGAACAGGTCCCCTTCCTCTAACAGCAGCATGTATTGCAGTTTGGGGATGAAGCATGCTAAGGATGGCCCACTATCCTTGAGCAAATGTCCTGCTGTGGAATGAACAAATCTATGCTGAGCATTTGATGGGAATCTCTCTCATGAAACTTGCTCTAGAGAGACCATGCAGCATTACAGGTATTGTAGAGGTGCCATGAAGTACTAAAGGCCTACCAAAGCTTTTAAAACCAATTTGTTGCAAGCAATGTTTATTTACAGCATAGTCTGTTGCCTCTACAGGAAGTCTATTTCTTGAAGAAAGGGCAGAAGAAAAAGGTAAAAATAGATGAGTTAGAGAAGTGGCGACTGAGCACGCAGACAAACTTTTTTCCCTGCAGAAGTTCCATAGGTGTAATTCCCATTGCAATGTGTTCACCAAAGAGGCCATAATGCATTAAAGAGCCATTATTCCAAACACTGGGAAGGTTTTATTTATAGACCACAAAGAACAAGGTAAGTGCGTTTTGACAATATCATCATGGTGTGTGGATTCTTGACTACTCACACTTTCCAGCTAGTAGGTTAGGGTCTGATCCTGTCAAGCTCTGAGCATCCTCAATACCCATTTACTTTCTTGGAAGTTAAAGGTGCTCAACAACTTCTACAAGGGGTCCAGCACCTCACAGGATTCAGTTCATATACATTAGGTAAGGACAATTACATCCCTGGATCTGAAAAGACTGGGAGTAAGTCCATGTTCAGCTACTTTCTGAAATGTCCTAGAACTAAAGCATCTAAAGGAGGCCTTTCATGTGTTCCCTCAGAAATGTAATACTGTAGGCAGTTTGTCAGCAGGATCAGTAGCAGCTGTCAGGGGCATCAATTGTCCATTAAAACAGACTTGTAAAACCTAGTAATCCTGTTTGAGGGGAAATAATGACATAGTATTTTCACTTGTGGACTGTCACCAGTCATTTTAAGTCTGGCACCAGGTGAAGCTGTAAGACATCATGCCAAAAAATAAATAAATAAATAAAAGAGCTTTTCTCTTCTATAAACAGGGCTTAATTTGTGCCTAACTGATTTTGATCCAGACATAATGACAAAAGACTATGGCTTAACTTTAATTCATAGATTCCAAGGCCAAAAGGGACCACTGTGATCATCTAGTGTGACCCTATGGTATAATACAGGCCATAGAACTTCACAAAAAATTTAAAGGAGACTATCTTTTAGAAATATGTCGCAGCAGGTAAACAAACTGGTCCGGCGCACCAGGGGCTATTTGGGTTGTAGCTCTCCTGGACAAAAGAAATTCACATCCTTTGGGGTATTTTTTCTTCCATTGTTCCTTCATTTTCAGGAAATCCAATTTTAACACTCTGATGGACAAACACAACACTAGGAGATATGCCAGTTTTGAAGGTGAGTTTCTGATATTCCAGGAGTAGATTAGCAGTAGATGCTAAGGGATTGCATAAAAGATTCACATCCCCAAAATATTTATTTTATGAACTGTATTGATTTGGGTAGGTAGGTTTGCATGTCCAATTCCTCTGTAACCTCAGAAAAAAAGAGAGGTAAGGACACAAGTACATAATTCGACAATGGATGTAGAGTTCTCATCTGACATTTTATAGACAAAGAGTATCTAAAAAGGGTGTTTTTATATTCTGTGTTTGATTTTTCCCACAGAACAAAATTCCTATTGTAGGATGTGTCAGCTGCATTCTTCCAACCTGAAAGCAAAAGTGTACCTGAAATCCTGCGAGATTCCCTGACAACTGCTATCTGTCCATGATAAATCCTTAACTGCAGAATTATCTTGCTGCTTTCTTTACAGTAGGTGGAGAAGATGTGGTCCTGTCCAAGGAATGGAGAATGCATCCTTCCTGCAGCTTTGCTTGGGAACCTTCAGAATCTCAATTACTGGCATTTTTGGTTGGCAAAATCCCATCACTAGAGTCTCCCATAGATGAGAAATGTTTCAGGGTCCAGGGATGCTTCCTCCCAAAGGGTGGATTTGCCACCAAATTCTCTGTCCCTGGGATATGTTGACCAGTTTAAGTTTCCAGATGTTATGGACAGTGGTCATCTATGCTGACCTGGTTTCCACTAGTTCTAAGGAATAGAACAATCATAATATTTCCTGTATTATTTTCCATCCCATTCCTTTTTGCAATCTAACTTTTTGCTTGCTGTTTTTGAATGCTGCTGCATATTGAGCAGAGGTGTTTACGATAAGATGAATAACTTATCCTGTACCCAGGATAAAAACGCATCCCACAGGACAAACACAATTACCTTTCAATGATACACAATTGCCAGGAGAGCCTGAAAATTTCCCCATAGTTTGGATGCATAGGAATGAAGAAAATGGCTGAGTGTAAATCTGTTTTTCATTGAACTTCCCCTTTTTAAACCTTGAGTTTAAAGGTTGACCCTTTAGAAATGAGAAATGGGTGGACACTCATAAAAAGCTGCATGGACTTTGCATGTAAGATTGGATTATATCCCATAATGGACGCGGGCATCACGAAAATAGAGTTTATTCAGCCACCAGAGAGTTTTCCTTTGGCAGTACTTCTAGGTCCTGAGACTCTGAATTTTCTATGATCTTTTCCTCTAAGTCTAGGGTGAGAAAGCTGTCTATATTAATTTACAAAGTGAGGACCCCTGGTACTGGTTTGATGCTAAGGTGTAATTTTAGCCTGTCTGATTCCTATCACAGGGCTGATAAGATGATATTGGACCTTTTACAGAGCCTAAAGCATTCCTGCCTTTGCTGATTGGATTGGAAAAGAATCTCTGCACATGAATATAGAATGCTGCACATAAAAGACTGATCGTCTGAATGTCTTGTCTTGTAAGTCAGTAAGAAAACTCTGCTTCCATATCCCAGAACCTGCATCTCCCAGTTGGTGAGGTGGTCTGCCTTGAGATGCAGCACACAAGTGAAGGTTGAAAATTCTCTTACAGGCTGGATAGTGCAGCCTCTTGATCTCCTTCCTTCTTGGCTTGAGGATAACTATACAAGCCACAGCACTGGAGATGCCCTCCTTCTTCCTTATCTTCATCAATATAACCATGCCTCTGGAGAACTGAACTGTTTGGATTAGGGACCCCAAATGGTTTAAGCAAAACTTTTCCTATCCATGATATCTGCAATACTGCGTCCACCCCTGGCATTGGTAACCCAGCATGAGTCTGGTGTGCAGGGTAAGTATTTCTGTAGCCTCTTCAAAGAGAATGTCCCACATTCCCTTCTTCTGTTCTAGCTCTAGGCAACCTCACATACACAGCAAAAACACCTGAGAATTTACAGTGTTCCAATGCACATAATGTTTATCATGTCTTACTCCCTCAGCTATTTCTATCCTATTTGGAAACACGTTTCTGAAAAATTAAAAGTGGAGAAAAGCTTCCTCTACATTGAGAGTGTCTGGACAGCCTACACTGAAATCCCAATCACAGCCTACACTGAAATCCCTCTCAGCTTCTTTTCATGGTGTCCAAGCATGGGACTGCAGAAGAGGGCAGACAAGAGCCTCCTAGTGGAGCTCACAGGCTCTCTCTAATGATGTTTGTGTACGCAGCATTTCTGGCAGGTGGGAGGTGGCCCCGTCAAAATGGTGTTGACCTTCTTTAGGCATTTAGTTGAGTGTTTGGCTTTATGTGTGGGCTTTGGGAACTAGGAATTTCCCACAGTTTATTTCTGAAGGAGAAATATCATGGCCACAGTAGGGAATACAGATGTGACTCCCTTAAGATTGCTGTTCTTGGACTCAAGTAACTTGGCTTAAGCCATTAGGATGCACCTCTCCAGAGGTGGAATAGCCCAGGAGAGTGGTATTAGGAAAGTACTCACAATATTTTGGTTCCCAGAGAGCTCTTGGTCAGTGACTGATTCTTACTATGCGTGTTTGTACAGTGGTTTTGAATGGGGCCCTTCTCTCCTATTTATGGAACATTTATTATAGTGACGACAGTCTAAAGTACTTGCTGAAATGTAGAGTTCACAGCACCTATTTAAAAGAGGCCTCTGTCACAATGTGGGGCCTGTAACTGGGTGTGCAGAGACAGAGGTCTGGTGGAGTGGGGCATTTCCATTTCCTGCAGCACCCCATGGTTATCCATCATGGAACTGTTTTATGACCAGCAAGAGACTGCATTTGCAGTACAGTTTTTTAGTGAGGCTGGCATAGCCAGTGAGGGTCAATGCTGTACAGGAGGATGCAGCTGAGGGGAGCAGAGACTCTTCCATGTGGCTCGTCTGAGGTCAAGTGACAAAAATCAGTTTGGCACAGAAGGTCAGCCCTGTTTATAGACATGAGGAGTTCTTGTCCTTGCAAACGAGTCTTAAAACCCTTACCTGTGGCCAGATCTACAAGGTCAGGTGGTAACCCACAAGGGAAAATAATGAGGCATTATTCCCCAAGATAGAAAATGTTGCTTTACAAGGAAACAAAGGAACAATATCATCAAGCAATGTTACAGTTCATTATGTCAACAGTGCATTAGGAAAAAATCCATACATAAACAAACATGTGCTGAGCAGAAACTATCAGTACCCCCATGATCATTATGACTAATAAAGTCAGTTAAGCAGGTTTCCAAAAGGCCTTCAGTAGAGTTACATCATTCATATTTTAAAATGGAATTTTCCACTCTAAGCAACTGTTAAAAAGGGAAGATAAACCCAGTATTTCTTTTGGCGTTATTTGTATGTAAATTTGGTGTTTTTGTAGGATGAGAAGCACTTAATATACAAAGGAAAAAAGTAGAGTTTTCTCACAGTTTTACAATACACATCCATGATGACTTACAACACAATACATCCTGCTCTTTCAGCTCAGGGCCACTTTTGAGTAAAGACTGCTATAAAATTAGCTCCCAAATTCATTGTCTTTTTTGACCTAATGCAACCTGTGTCTCCAGAGGCAGAAAACATGTAACCCACTCCAGTACTGCAGCCCCAGAAGACTTTGTTTGAAGAGCACTCAAGGTTTGATCTCCAACAACAGCATGGAGGATCAAAGTTAACATCAATACAATTCTTAAATCCTGTTGGGCCTAAGCATTGCTGGTCTCAAATTAATGCTAAGCATTTCAGTATGATGACAGCTAGTGTTAAAAGATGTGCTAAGGACAGAGTAAAAGGTTTAGCTTTGTTGTTTGTCTTTAGTTGGCATATATGCAATCCAATGGGAATATATAAGCAAAGCTTTATGTTAGAAGAATTTGCACAGCTAAAACCTAACTCTTACTGACTTTAGTAATACTTAAATAAATCATCATAAATAATTTGTAGTTATATAAAGTCTTTCACCTAAGGATCTCAAAGTGCCATTCAAAAGTAGACAAGCATGGTTATCTTCATTTCCCTTTTAATATGTGGAAACTGAACGACAGAGGCTAAGTAACTTACCCAAAGTCACACAGCAAATCAGTGACAGAGTTGGAAAGTCTGTTAGCAGAGTTTCCTGGCTAATGACCAGACAATACTTACTCCCTGCAGTGTGAACTGTGGGACTAGAAGAGATAGCAGCACCTTAAAAAGGTTATTCTTTAATAGTTTTTGGAGCTCTCTACATTACAAATGGCTTTCTTTTAACACTCAAAACCTTATGACAAGGCAAGGAGCTGGTACCATGAATAAGGAACTGGGAATAAGGAAGCAACTTCAACCTCATAACTTTTTGTAAGATTAGACCCAAAACACAAGTCCAAGCTCAGTTAGATTTCTCCCAGCTAAAGAGTTATTACTGTTATTTATCCTCGGTATTTCTATGATCGTGGAAGCCAAAAAATGAACATATATTCACTGAAAGTTGATAAATATAATATTATTTATGAAATGCTAGCATATACAATTCTTCACATTAAAATTCTGTTGGTAAAAGTTTTATGAATGAGCTATGTCCAAAGAGAAACATTTCTATGAAAGGCTGTAATGAGGCAGTGGAAGATCTGGCAGGAAGACAAGGGGGAGACTTGCAGGAAAGCATGTCTGAACGCTGCATCTCCAGCCTCTGTCCTGCAGCCATCAGAAAAATCAGTGGGGTGGGGTGGGAGGGGGTACAGATGGACAGAGAATTTGTGCATGGAGTATCAGGGGAGATGCCAGAGGTATCTGGTGGCGTGACAGAGCTGGAAGAAAGAGCCTAATCTGGTCAAGCTCCCTATGCTGGACGCTCATCAAGGTGCTGTGGTTGGATTCCAACACTGGATTTACGTGCCTTTAAACTTCCCTGGGCCTCAGCAGGCCTCTCCGGCTCCAGCCTCCCTCGCACTTTTTCTGAGTACAGTTGCTCAGTCTGTTACCCCCTTCACAGAAGTGGGACCTCATGATCCAGCTGCCCTAGACCCCCAGGACCCGTCCTAACTCCCTTCAACACAATACCTTAGGCACTCCCTTTTGCAGAGCTCCACACTTTGGGGACTCTGGTTTACAGTTTAACACTTCAGGGACACATGGTAGTTGAAGCAAACAGACATAGATTTTGCAGATAGATTTCTAAAAAACAAACAAACAAACCACCACTATCATTCTTGGTCACCTTTTCTCTCAGAATCAAACACCTAATGAGAATACCTAGCCTGAAATAAATTTACACAAGCACAAACTTTTCTGCACTTTGTGACAGCAGTGGAATCAATGTCATATATTGCTTATGTGTAAGCATTTCATAATTTACCTAAGATTATTTATGATTATTATTTATTTGCTTGACGTAGTCCCTAGGGGCTGCAGTCATGATCAGGGCCCCATTACGTAAGGCTCTGGGTACCTTTAGTACTGTGCTGCCCTAAAGAGTTTACAATCTAAGTATACGATGAGAGACAACGGTGGATGCAACAAACAGATGGGAGCACAAGGAAACAATGAGACAGCCCTAGTGCGCATAATCAGCAGTGATTATGGAGGTCTTTAGTATACTGCAGCTACATTTCGTTAATGATGTAGCTCATCAATGATAGAATTCCAAAGCAAACGCCATGAAAATGAATCTAATAAAAAAAAACACATTAGGAAGAAATGCTAAGTGATTTCCATTAAGGAGATGTGGTTTTGTCTTTGCTAGAGAACTAATCAAAATCCCATAACTATTCCCAGTCTGTTGTGTGCTTCCATTTTTCATTTTATTGAATAATTCATCTTGTATTCATTTTGACTATAGATTTGTTTTCATGAACCCATCAAAGTAATAAAAAAAAGTTGATGTATACACACTTAAATATTTAAGAGCATTGAATCTTTTAGCAAATTCTCTCATACTAATTATTGTCACTACTAGCAATAGTAGTTGAAGCTTACAATGCAGTTTAAAAACAACATCATATTTTGTGCCAAAAGAGGCTGGTCTTTCACTCTACAATATAAAGGGACAGCCATTTGTTTTCCCTTTTTTTAAGATTGGTACTTCACATATTACAAATAAATGGCACAATCCTGCAGACCTTACACTCAAGCATAAGGGCTGCTGCATGGGGTCCAAATTGGAGCTGCCCAAAAATCAGATTTGCAGGAAATTTCAACATTTTAAAATGTGTTTTCCTTTTGGAATGTTGTTGTTTTCTTCCCAAATTGAAGGAAATGATTACCTAGGCTACATCTTTATTACGAGTTAGGGGTGTGATTCCCCTCCTCAGGTACACATACTTGTGCTAACTCTCACTGAGCAAGCATGAGTATAAGTAGCAATGAAGCCACGGTAGCGTGGATAGCAGTAGTACAGGCATGACCTAGCCATGACAAATACAAACCCACCTGAAACCACAGGGCCCTTACTTGGCATGGCTAAGCCTTGCCTCTGCTGCTACCCATGGTACTGCAGCTACACTGGTATTTACGCTTGTGCTAGCTCGATCAGAGCTAGTGTGAGTATGTGTACACCAGCAGGGAAATCACACCCCTAGCTCCCAGTGTGGACGTAATCTTAGAAAAAAAAATCAGTTTTGAAAATTTGTCATTTCAGAATATCAACATTGTGTTGGAATTGTGTAGCTTTCTTTCAAATTTTAATTTATGGAGTTTTTCATTTTAATATTATTTTTACATTTATTTCACGATATGTCAGATGCTATTTCATAAAAAAAAAGTTTTCAAACAAAACAGCCTTTTCTGACAACAAACTCATTTGACAACAATTTTCCTATCCGCTCTACTCCAGGTAGTACATGTATTTTCTGAAACTTCTTGAGATGTGTTCACAAGGGCAAGGTACTTTGTGAACAGAAATTATGGCTGTTGTTGCTAATCTGCATTCAGAAATATTCACTGAAAAGCTCTGCAAAGATGAGAGCAAGTTTTGATTTCTAGAGCCATAAGAATTAGAGCTGCAGTATTACTCACTTGATTTCCTTTTTAACTCAATAGTGAAGCAACTTCATAGCTTATTGACAGCAACTTTTCTATGAAGTATAGCCAATGGTAATAGTATGAAATTCCATTTGTACAGAGATGCTACATGCTGCTGGCACTTGCTAAAAGGTATTGGCATGTCTCTTCGATATGTATGGCTGCTCTAAGCCTGAAGAGCCACATCTGATATGTGCAGCACTGTGCATGTGGTTGTAAAGAATTGGTGGGTAAACAGGTTAATAAGAATGGTGATACTTTTAGAGCAGTGGTTCCCAAACTTGTTCCGCCGCTTGTGCAGGGAAAGCCCCTGGCGGGCCGGGCCGGTTTGTTTACCTGCCCTGTCCGCAGGTTCGGCGGATCGCGGCTCCCACTGGCCGCAGTTCGCTGCTCCAGGCCAATGGGAGCTGCTGGAAGTGGAACAGGCAGAGGGACATACTGGCTGCTGCTTCCAGAAGCTCCCATTGGCCTGGAGCAGAGAACTGCGGCCACTGGGAGCCACTATCAGCCGAACCTGCGGACAGGGCAGGTAAACAAACCGGCCCAGCCCGCCAGGGGCTTTCCCTGCACAAGCGGCGGAACAAGTTTGGGAACCACTGTTTTAGAGAGTGTTAATGTTTGCTTTAAGGAGTTCATTTTAAACTGAAGTTTCTAAGCCCTTTCCTTTTGTATCTGGGGACTCATTTAGCAAAAATACCACAGGCTTAATCCTGCAGTCCTTAGGCAAAAAACTCACCGACTTTAATGGGATTCTTGCCAGAGTAAACAAAGCAGGATTTAGGGTCGATTGTTAGCTATTTTTCTTTGTCAAAATAGTATGATCACACTTTTCAAAAATGATATTTTGCATTTACACGGGCATTCCAGCTGGGGACCTCAAAGCGTTTCTGGTGAAATTCACTCCTCTCACAGAAATCCTGAGGATTTGGACTCCATGTAGGTGGAGTGCAGTGTGTCTGGGGAGGGGAAATCCACCCTACAGCCAAGGGGAACATTCTGTGGATGCTGAGCAGCCCCTCCCTTTCCCCTCATCCCAAACTGAAACTGTACCTAGGAGCTGCTATAGCAATCACAACCTCCCTGCCCCAGCTGTGTTGAGTATTGGGAGCACTGAATCCACAAAAATGCAGATATTGGACCATCCCCAAAGTGGCCATCTGTGTTGGTATGCATAGGGCCAGTACAAAGACCCTTTTGCATATAGCATATTAGCATATAGAGCAGATGTTGTTTTCCAAGAACTTTGCAAACATTCATTTCTATAATTTCTTCAGGTAAAACCCAGACTAACCTGATCTATTGAAAGTGTCATCAAACACAACTTTGCAGGTTCTCCCATTGTTCACTATGGTCCTAGCTCCCACAGGATCATATCCAACACACCAAGGCAGAAGAGAGGACTCATAATGGACCTCTTTGGAATTGATTTCAATAGGTGACTGATTGTCTCCTTTGGCAATAGGGTAATATTTGTGCCAGTACTCAGGTCCTAGGAAGAAATGCAAAGGAATGACATGAAAATCGCTTCCATTTAGGCATAAAATTGACATCTGTTTAATACAAATACAATCAATGTTACACTTTATTAATACATCGCCTCACAGCTGTGCCATTCACTGTGGATTTTCCCCCTCCTTTTGGTTTTCAGACAGAGGCATTTGAACCATTGCGCGTGACTCCTTTTAAGAAACTGTTTTTGCAGGTGAATATGCTGCTGAGCCACAGGCCCACCCAGCCCCGTCCCACCCGCCCAGCCGGGGAGCTGGAGTCAGCCGCCTGGATCGCCGCGCTCCAGGAGCTGTCCAAGATCCACTTTCCGGGTGAGGGTGGAGATCGGACGGGGAACGTGGGTTGACCTGGCGGTAAAGTTGTGCCCAGACTTATTATCATGGCAGCAGAGGTTGCAGGAGCCGGGAGCCAGCCCCCACCCAGCCCGCCCCAGTCTCAGCCCTTACAGCGTCTGCCAGATGCCGGACAGATGCGCGGACAGCGGAGCCCGGGCTGGCCGCGAGCGCTGCAGGCTCCCGCCCGGGGAGGCTGCGGGGCTCGCCCTGCCCCTCACTCACCGTTGTCACTGTCATAGCCCCACTGACAGGATTGCTGGGCCATGCTCTCGGCGCGGGGTCTCCGCACTCTGTGCCCGGGCTGCTCCGGCCGGCTCCGCCAGGGGCTTTTATAGGCTCCCGCCAACTCCGAGCCCCCGTTGAGGCCGGTCGGGGGGGAGAGGGAGAGAGGGGGCGGGGGCGCCTGGCCGGCGCGCAGGGGGCGGAGAGAGCGATCCCCTGGACTCCCCTGCTGCCCCCCCCCCGCCCCCCGCGCCCTCCGCCGCCTCTGCCCCGCTCCCCTGCCCGTCTGCTTCGCGCCTGGCAGGCTCGCCTCCCGCAGAGCTAGTCCCCTGCCTGCGCCGCTTCCCGCTGCCCCCCGGGATCGTTAGTGTGTATTTGTAATTGAACGAGGAGTTGCTGTGATCCTGTCCCCACTCGGGTGCGGGGGGGAGGGGGTGCTGGCGGTACCGCGCCTCGCACCCCTTGCTAGGTCCCTGCCTGGGACCAAGATTTCTCTTCACGGCGTGTTAAACTTGTGACTTCGGGGCGTGACACAAATCATTGCACAGGGCTGTGTCTGGGAAGAGAGACTAACTTATATTGAACCATGTATCTCTCCCTTGCAGTAGAAGGTGGTCACAAAAATGCCTGTTTGCACCGTAGGATTAAAAACAAATATATGCGAGGTACATTACAAACAGGAACAATAAATAGCTGACCCTGGGGCTTATATTTCAAACTCAAAGAATAACTCTTCTCCTTTGCACTTCAGTGATTTCAATCAATTTAAACACATAGTGCAAATAAAATGAGTAAATGCATCTGTGGCAATACAGAGCCCACATAATTCTTTCGATGATTTGTTCCACTAAGGTGCTGTCCTAAGTTCTTAGACCTGTTCCAGCTGATGCTCTGTCTCACATGGCTCTTACTAAACACTATTTATTATTACTGAATATTACATGGGTCATCACTAATTGTTAAAGGATGTAGTATTTTTTTTAAAATCAATTTCCAACAGGAGGCTTTACAAATGCATCAAATGGGAACGGAGAGACAAGGTTAGTGGGGTAATATCTTTTATTGGACCAACTTCCCTTGGTGAGAAGGACAAGCTTTGGCTCGGACACAGAGCTCTTCTTCAATAACACTGCATACACCAAATGGGACTAGTTAGTGGGGATCTAAATTTGTCCCGGCTAGTGACTTTGAGGGAGGAAATGCTGGAGGGAATTTGAGAGAGGAAACAGACGTTTTACCAGGCTAGTGCCTCCTTCTGCCCCTGTTTGAGTGCATAAAGCCAGGAATTACCAGCAAGAGAGTGCAGACACCTCAAAGCTTTTGCACTAAAATGACGATATGGTTGAAATCTTTCAGTACTAAAGGATTTGTTTTTAATTTCATGTTCTGGGAAGCGTAAGGTGACGGGTTTCCACTCGTAAATAAAATAAATTCTTTGGCCAGCCTGAACCAACACACTGCATCTGAATTCATCATATTATGCTGACCCTGTCATCCAACTGCAGCTGGCTGACTCTGTTGAGCTTATGCTGAAGGTGCAGTTACTCCACAGAAGCTGCTGTATGTTAGTATAAACACCAACAGACCCTGCTCAGCGGTGGGCGGGATCAAACCTGGGACCTCTGGAGTTTAGTGCATGAGCTAAAAGCCAACTGCCTGTTAGCTGGGTATAGAACAGACTCATTAAACTCATTCTGTAAGTGATCTCAGTGCTATTAGAGGGGACAGAACATTGCACCTAGAAGGCGTTATCTCAAGGAGACATGGATTCAGCAATACCTTTTCCCACCTTATGTTCAGTATAACTTCGAGTTTGGAGTTCTGTCAAGGATAAGGTTGGCTCATCGACTTTAGTTATGTAATTGTACATCATAAATTCACATTGTTCCCTATCACATCAAATTCCCATTTGTGCAGCTTAATTTCAGCCTGTGCACTCCCACTGGCTTCACAAAGAGCCTGATTGCACAAAGTCAGCAGAGGGTGGTGAATTTCCAAATTCTTGGATCTTTTTAAAGATGCTACTTACTATTCAGGACATTCTTATTAAACTGCAAAATCATTATAGAATATAGACGGCTAGTCTCCGACAGCTCCCAGTAAGAAAACCCTTGCTTCAGCCAGGCTGGATTGATTTAAATCATCAAGTAGAAAGCCTCAACTGAAACTGTGGATTTTAACCAGCTTTTCCATTTGTACTTCAGTTATTTTCTAAAGAAAGATGCATGCACATTAGTGGATAGAACCATTATAACATGTTGATTTACAACTATAGAGAGCCTTTACAATAGATATGGTACATCTTTTTGCTACCTGGCAGGGCACACTATACTTATATACATTTATTTGAGCAATTATATAGTATAATAATTTAAATTCTTATTACTTGTACATTTTAGTATGTTAGAAAAAGGGGAATGATATATTGTTATTTACTAGATAATTAAACTTTTTGCTCGTGATTAGTATCAAGTTTCATTAGGATGGTAAGTGGAATTCAATTAAACACATAAAACAGCCTACAATATTTTTTATTAAACAAAACACCCTTAATCTTTTCAAAAATATTGATTTTTATCCCACACTCAAGTGCAGGTTTTGTTTTGCTAATTCTAAGTTAATAAGTAGGGAGTCATGCACCAAATTGCATGTAAACTCAAGGCATACTTGTTAGCTTGCATCATTCTGCAGGTGACTCAGAGGGGTAGTGGTGCTGGAACAATTTGTATAGGGGGGTGGAAAGCCACTGAACAAAACTGCAAGCCCTGGATATAATGGAAACCACTTAGTTCAAACCATGTGTGACAAAGCTCTGCCCTTGTCTCCATGGGTCCCATGTTTCCTGGCAGATTTCACTAGCCTCAGAGGCTCACTGTGACCCTCCACATAACCTTCTCTCTCTAGAGACAAGGGTCACAGAGTCTACTGAGCCATTTTCATCATAAGCCAGCAAGGGAGGTGAGGAGAAGCTATCCTCCCTTGCACAGTCTCTGTTGTCTCACAGTCTCAGTGATTAATCGGGGGAGGAGGGGCAAAAAGGGGAGCCCAGGCCCACCCTCTACTCCAGGCTCCAGCCCAGGGACCCTAATAGTATCAGTTATGGTAGCTGACCTTTTAGAAACATGACACATACAATTCCCTGGGCTACTTCCCCACAGCAGCCCCCACTTCCTCAAGCTCCACTTCACCCTTACCTCAGGGCCTCCTTCCTTGTGCCTGATATGGTGTGTATTGCTCAGTCTCTCCAACAGCACAACTTCCTCCCACAGCTCCTGACCTCTACACCCACCTGAGTGACTGGGAGGCTTTTAACTAGTTTCAGCCAGTCCTGATTGGCTTCAGGTGTCCCAATCAATCTAGCATTCTCCCTGCCTTCTGGAAACTTCTTAATTGGCCCCAGGTGTCTTAATTGACCTGGAGCAGCTGCCATTTAACTTTAACAGAAGTTTGAGAGCTGGGGCGTGTCTGCTGGGGCTCGGGACTTCAGCTCCACTCCTGCTGAAGCCCCAAGCCCCAACAGGTGCATCCTGCTGGGCTGAAGCCCCAAGACCTCCCTCCCCACTGGACAGACCAGAGGTAATGCATGGTGGGGCAGTTAGAGTCATGTGCCCCACCCAGATTTTTGCCAGGGTTTGCTGGACATGCTGTTACACAGTACTGCTGGGCCCCGTTCCTGTACAGCAGCTGCTGGAGCCAGCAAGCTGGGAGCTGAAGCCCTGGGGAGAGGCAGCGGCAAACAGCTGGGAGCTACAGGGAGAGCCGCGGCTTTTGTTGCTGCCTCTCCCCATGGAGCTAAAGCAGCGGCCCCTCCCTGCAGCTCCCAGCTGTTTGCTGCTATTTCTCCATGCAGAGCTAATGCCTGGGAGCTTCAGGGAGTGGCCACTGTGGGTAACGGGAAGGGGTGTGGGGAGGGGGGGGGCGTGACTCAATCTGTTGCGGCGGGGGGAGGTGGACCTTTAAATTGTGCCCACTCACTCTCAGCAGGCACCAGTTGACCACCCTGCCGCAGGGTGGAAGCCCAGAACTACCCCTCCCCGATCTGGTAGAGAATTGGGGAGGGGGGCCTCTGTGAGCCGCACTTTAACTGTAAGAGAGCCACAGTTTAGCCACCCCTGACCTAAAGGCTCCAAATAAAATCAGACCCTGTTATGATAGACACAAACACTTACTAAGAGACAGTCCCTTCCTCAAGGACTTCACATTCTAAATAGGCAAGATTGACAAAGAATGGGAAGAGAAACAAAGGCACAAGACTAGCCCAAGGTTAGATAGTCATTGACACAGCTGGGAACACAATCCTGGTCTCCTGTTTAACACCCTGGTACCATTGGACCACACTGCCTCTCCAAAGAGCATTACAAAGCAGGTAAGTATTATTATCTCAATTTCCTGATGGGATAGACAGGTTAAGAGACTTCTTCCAGTCTTGTTTGGTGGTTCCTAACCCTTTGCTATAAACACTCCCCTCTGCTCTGTCTTTCTATTATAGGTAGTAGCAAAAGTTGAGGGGTGGGAGACAAATACAGAACATTGGGTTAGGTATTTGAAGTTTAATTTAAAGTATTTCTCTTAGCAGAATTAAGGTATAAAGTTCAAGCAATCATAGGAGCAATTAAAAAACATTACAGACCAATTTCTGTCCTTAAAAACAACAACATGGAAATTTAACACAGAGAACTCCCTAATCTGACTAACTAGATGACTGTTACAGTTTTGTCATTGGGATTCACTCACGTGGCACGCACTCTGAAATCCAAGCCTCAATTCAAGAATGAAAATCTGAGCTATCTGCTTTTATACACTTTGGCACAAACTGGTTTAGCATAATCCAAGAATGACAATCTGACCTAAGCTGTTTGCTTTTATAAACTCCGGACATGTCTGCTCTGAAATTCCAACAGATTGGCGCCTCTTCTCTACGAAGGTACAGCTTTAAGTCTCATGCTGACCTTGAATTGTACAGTTTAAGGTGAATATTCAGTCATTTGGGAACAGAAAAGTACAGGGGACCTGAGCAGTTTGGAAAAAACTTTCAGATTATGTAGTAAAAAACAATATTCTTTACTACTCATTAGCGCTAATGGACTTGCAAAAGTAATAAAGCTGAATACCAAAACACACACATGCAAAAGCTGAAACTAATGAAAAAAATCTCGCTTCATAAATCTTAATAAGGGTCCCAACTCACAATCTATTCTGATCTCTCTTAAAATACTCATGTTTTTTTGTCATGGTAAGTGCGCCTGATCATCCTAGATATGGCACCTC